ATATATATATATATACTACAGTAGTAGAAACAGGGGTCACACATGTCACACATGCCCCCTATTGGATCCGTGCCTGATTAAGTAGTATAAATATGCAAAATTTACAGTACTGTACATGTAAATGGAATAAATTTACAGGAGACTTTTGCTTGTTTGCACAAGTTGGAAACCATACTTATTAAATTTCCAGGAGACTAACCACATCTTAGGAAAGACTTTGGATCCTAAGTAACAGACAAATTTTGTTGCATGGATGACAATGTAACAAAAAGTGAAAGTGCTGTTAAGTGCTGTGTTGTAGATGAAATCACTTCCTGAAATTTGAATATGAAGAGCAAACAGTATAGTAATTTGGCGCAAAACCTCTATTATATGGCACATAATTATGTTACTATACATACTGTTGTGATGCTTCGGAGAAAACAAGGACACAAGTTTTACAAACAATGAATGCCATGATTCTGGTAACTAAAAGAGAGTACCTCTGCACCACTGCAACAAATGGACATCTTGTAATATCTGCAAATTAAACTAGTCCTTTACCTTCCCGCAAGAGTTTGTTTTCTTTTTCAACAGCTTCAATCCTTTGGTTTGAAACACCAGCTGTATCCACACCAACGCCTACGCTCAACCCTACACCCTAAAAAAAAATATTAAACAAGTTTGGTTTATAGAGAAAAATACTAGAAACCTTAACATCTAAAGAGAAGGCCAACTAGATTGTGAACATTTCAGTCAAAATTATAAAAAATAAAATATTAACAAATTTACTTTTATTTCAGAGAAATACTTGAAACTTTAACATCTAAAGTGAAGGTAGGCTGCCTAGATTGTGAACATTTCAGTCAAAGTTATAAAAAATAAATATTAACAAGTTTGGTTTATTGAGAGAAATACTTTAAACTGTAAGACCTACAGAGAAGGCCAACTAGATTTTTAACGTTTCAGTCAAAATTATGTTTGCAGCAATAATCTGCTACAACACCAGATTGAATAAAAATAAAACAATTACACATTTAGTTCTAAATAGCAGAATGATATTATCAACAATGCACAAATCCACATTTATATATATATATATATATATGATATATTTACATTACATATTACAATACATTTATATTTATATATATATTTTAATAATAAAATGCCAATTTTACATTAACATTCAAGATACTACACCAAACCTAAAGATTTAAAATAAATAAAAATATACTTTTAACAAAGCAGTTTTTAAAATAATATAGAATTACTAAATTAATTTCATGAAGAATATTAATTGCATTTTTATGAGTAAAATTTTATATGTATTTGTTAGCAATTTTGGAAGTGAAAAGTTGTGCCCAAGTGAATATTAACATTAAAGAAATCCAATACTGAAATATCCATATAAGATACAATACAATGGTTAATGAAAATATACAACCACATTATAGTCAAACAAAAAATGGGAGAAAAACAAAAGAAGGAACAAACTATCATAGTTAACTGAATAATAAAGATATTATAAATTCATGTTAGTTTTATAATATAAGTATACAGTATACTCTTCTTCATCATTGCTGTATAGTATGTGTAGAATCATTATCTAACATCACCTCTTACTTTTTTTTCTACCTTTTCCACCACTAAAACATGGTAATGAACAAGATAATGATAATGACGGTGATGAACACGACAACAGCGGTAGAAGGCCCTTTCTACAGCATTTGCTGTCGGTGCTGTGGGGAAATTCGAACCCTGCCATGATGATGATGAGCCATCAATACTCTTTGACTGGAACATACAGTAACTATCATCCCAATCATCATTACCATGATCATAACAACAACCATCATTATCATGATCATTGATGCCATGATAACCACGATTCTCATACTGATCACCATCATTATCATGATAACAATCGTTAATCTATCATCATAGAAATCAAGCATCATCATCACTAAAATAACTTTCATCTGTGCCATCACAATCAGCAGCATTGTCACCATCGTATTTAGCATCATCGACACTCTCACTCTCTTCAACCATAATCAAAAGGAGAAAGAAATGTGCTTAGCAGCAGTAGTTTTAACATGTGCATCACATGTATACAAACACTGCAGCTTTTACTAAAAACATCACTTCATGGCAGAGCAGAAAATGACACACAACATTTTAATTTGCATAACATTAACAAGGTCATTTTAAAAACACCACATTCAATACTCTTGACTAGAAATTTTTAGTATTAGTCTACAAGCAAACAACCTGCCTATGATAAGGATTGAATATAAGAACGATATAGGGTATGTCATAAACTATAGAAAAATGAAAACATGGGATAGCCCATTTAAAAAAATAAATAAATAACTTATTAACTTCCACTGAAAAACAGTCTGAAGATTTTATTGATTTAAGAACTCTACAAGTACAATACTAATATTTTTAAGTTTATAACCAGCTAATTTAAGTATTAAAATATAGCATTTAGAAAATGTATAATCTACTGTAAGAATCCATTCTAAAGAATATGAAAAATGTATTAGATTTGCATAGACTGTTTAGAAATATTATTCTTATTTCATTTTCAATTGAAAGTTGATATAATAAATTACTAGAGGGTTTGAGCAGCAAATATTTTCCTGCAGTGAAATTCACTCAATGACAGATGAGAATGTATAATAATGTAACAGCCTTTAATATTTTAAAACAAAACACACAATGAACTAAACATCCCATACCTACATTTACTGTACTGTAGCACAGTTATCTCATCATACAAAAAAAAAACATTTACTGTACTGTAGCACAGTTATCTCATCATACAAAAAAAAAAACATCAGTTTTGTATGGGTCGAACCTCTCCTTGTGAGAGTGTTCCTCTGTTATAAAGGGGTCACTCCAACTCCAATCAACCACCATGCCAATGTGACCTCCCCTCCTCCATCGGAATTTCCTTTAAAAAATTATTAAAATACCTTTAATCTCCAAGCAGCTTTCAATTTAAGTAATTTAGGTGATGTCATAACTTACAAACCGCTTTGAAATTGAAGCTGAAATTTCTTAATTCTTTTTTTGCAATGTCAAGGTATTTTTAGATTTTTTTTAAAGGAAAATCCAAGGGGGAAGGGGGGGTCACATCGCAACTTTTTAAAATTTCCGGCTGATTTTGAGCCGGAATGACCCAAAGGAGTGAACCAATAAATGTTAATATATCAAGATTTCTCATATAACCAAAAACAACTCCTCCACCAAAGCCTCATCATAAAGACACTTGTTTATAGAACTTATAAGGGTCTCAAAAAACCATTGAACTTGAACTCTCTTGTTAAAAAAAAAAAAAAAAAAAAAAAAATGTGTAAGCAAATATGGATTTCAGCAACATTCATCTTCACAAGACAATGCCATGCCACGATACACAGAATATATAAATTACCAAGAACTTGAAGACCGATGTATCATAAAAGTTGATAAGAGGGAAGAAAAAAGGTAAGATAAAATGAAGCACCTTATATGACTGATATAGAAGTCTAATGAAAAGGCATGCACAACTACCTAGCAAATTCTTGTTAGATGGCAAGCATAGACCATCTAACAATTAACAATTGAACAAGACCAGACTGTAAAAATAATAATAATAAAGTTCAACTTGATATAGTGCAAAATGTTTTTGTGTAAAATAAGCCCTGCACGGGGAATATTTTATACCCTCTTTTAAGATCTTAGGCCTAGAAATTGATCCACACGTTTCAGAAAATAAGAACATTTGCACACATTTTCCCAAAAAATTAGCCCTTGATCCTATCCCTTAATATATATCCAAAGTTTACTATTGTACAGAAGTTACAAATCTGTGCAGCTATCTTCCACAAAATTTAAGCTGGTTTTTGGTGTATCATCCGTGCAATTAAATTACTTTAAGTACAGTACGGTAGCACCCTAATAATGGAAATATTCATTTATTAAAAAAACAAAATGGTGGTAAATTGTAAAATTCTAGATACTAAGAAATCTTTGGTTTAATAATTTCAAAAACAAGTCTATCTGTCACTCTTGATGGAATTTATAATAATCTAAAATAATTTCATTAATATTAACCAATCATTCTCTCCCCTCTCCCTATGTTTACTGACCTTTTTTCATAAATTATTTCCTATTAAACTTACAGTTAACTCTTAAAAAAATATCATATCTTTCACTATTATGCTTCAATCAGTCCTTCACATACGCACAAAATGTATTAAGTTAAAATTCCCAGTAACGGTTAAATTCTAATGTGCGAGATTGAGAAAATTTGTAAGATGGAAGTAAAAATGAAATCATTAATGAACATAGCACAACAGAACACTATGATTGTAGCAACTGAGCAGACATGAGGGAAAAAAATATGCAAAGAAACTATAGAGGGGGTGTGCATAGGTTGAGCTAAAAGAGGCTGTTGGAAGGAATGCGATAGTTACTCACATCGCTACGGAGTGAGGACTGAATGGTTTGTCGGGCACGTTCTATCTCACTGACAATATGGCTGGTGGGACCGGAGCTCTGGAAATGAATGGAAAGAAAAAAGAACGCACACACTAGTGTCACAAGAAATACATTGGTGTCCCAGAAGCAGATTGATTCAACTTCTTATAAATTTGTTAAAAACATCAAAACAGAACAACAGAGTGTATTCTTGTGTTATCAACAACGCAACAAATATAAACAAATGATCGTTTAATTAAAAGTCTCTGTGCGATTTTCAACATTTTTATAATAGCTGAAGGAACATGTGAAAATGGTACAGAGTGGATGAGAAAACAATCAATTTTAAACATAAGATAGTATAATACATACTCCAAGTATCGAAATGCACGCCATCGTGTCAGGATTCAATATTTCAACATTAATTATGTCATCATCAGGAATTTTAAACATGGTCAAAACTTTTATTAACCAACAATTTATTAGATTTGTAAATGTAATGTACATTTCATGATGGGTATGGAAGAACACCCTTAGTAAAAATGTTGATAACTCACAATATCAGTCCCATAAATTCATTTTAGATAACTTTTCAGAAAAATCTGTCTTGTTTGAGGTACTGTACTTAAGATTTTAATATTGCTAATGTAAATTGATAAATTAAGAAATAAATTCTGAAAATTAAAATACAGTCAAGTACCTGCATTGTCTGGAGTAGGCTAAATGCTTGAAATTTAAAAAATTGTACAGATAATTATCTTTACGACTGATGGCAGAGTATATCTTTAATTGTTAGTCCAATGGTGAATTTTGGTCGCCCATATTTTTTTAAATTTTAAATATTTGCAATGAACTGATGGATTCTGTTTAATAGAATGCATACTGTAACATACCAAACATTGTTTTCAATTATTTCATGTTTAAACCTACACAAGGCAGAGTTTCAAATTAAAAAGAAATGTTACAGGTATGTGAGTCAGTAGACAAGTTATGAGAATAGAACTCAAAAGAAATTTGAGAGGATGAATATTCCACTACCTCAACAACTAGTCCTGCATGTTGAGATGCCAGCCTCTCCTGGTATTGTCTCTCTGCATCCTCAACACGAAACTTGTCAAACCACACAGAATCAAGCGTCATTTGATGAGCAGCCATTTTCATTCAGTATTTCAAAGTGATACCGTAGTCTACAAATTCAAAGAAATTTTGTTTTGTTAATTATTGCTTAAGATGGTAAAAAAAGTGCTACTGTATGTCCTGCTGCCCTATGTTGGGTTTACGATCAAGAACAATTTCTGGTAGAGAGAGTGGGCAATAGTGAGCTCAAACAGATTAAAGCAGGGTTAATTAACTAGAACACTTTGCGTTCTGAAATTTTTATTTATTTTATTTTTTAAATTAGGCATTTGCCTATCTGAGTATTTATCAATATACAACCAATGTATTATGTAGTAGTTTACAATTCTGCGGATCTATTTTCTTAGCAATTTTTCGCACATAATTTGAGTTGGTTTTTGAGATCCTCAGTGAGGACCAAGGACAGACTGACAATCCAGATAATAGGGCTCTCGTGAGAACCAGGTTTAAACAAGTCTTGAACTGAGCGGACTGCAACACTAAATCTAGCCTAGGCCCAGAGAAAGGTCACACAGGCTTGTGATGCCAGCCTATGCAGCGGGGTAGCTAGGAGTGCACATGTACGCAGCTAGGAATAGCGTACATATTGTAGGCCTACATTTATACTTGTATCACAGCTCCCTGGTCTGGGTTGGCAGTATAAAGAATAAATTTCAATTTTGTAAAACACAAAAATTAAACATGAAAAATCTATTTGGACCCAAACTACATATACAGTAGGCTAAGCCTACAACATTGTTTTTATGTTCAATTTTGTGAATGCGAACCCCTACTCGATTTTATTACCAATTATTTTCATTTGATTACTAACATTATCCAGTATACTAGAAATTGCAAATTGCAAGTGAAGTGCTGCGAAGTACAACTGCATATAAATGTTCTTCAAACAAAATTATTATGCGAGTCAAGTGAAAATAATGAATAATAAAAATATAACAAATAATATGAGAAACACTTCTCATTGGGTAACAAAGTCGTAATTTTTCATTTTTGCCAAAAAGTGTCTATAGTGGTGAATTATGGTTTAGGTTTTTTTTAATAAAGTTTCAAAAATTTCTATGTATGTGGAAAATGTAGTTGATTACCAAAGGTTACAATTTTTATTTTGAAGACTGCATGGTCTAGGAAGTGTACATTTTTTTATGGGGCAAGTTTCCAAGGGTGGGTTTTCTACGGGCGAGTTGACTGCCAAAGAGTGTTGGCAAAGTGTGAGCCAGCGTGTTATTTGATCACAAGTGCGAGACATCGCAAGTGTGAGCCAGCGAGCCATGACATCACGAAAATAGATACGAGACGTTATTCGAGTTGTGCGAGGTATCGGCTGAGATTTGTGGAGATTTTCAAAAAATAACAATAGGTCTAATAATGAATTATTGTGATGTTAAATAGACAATGTTAGCTATCAAGGAGTGACGTTGTTTTTCATTGGGACCTTCGTCCCTTCAAGGCTAGGCCTATACCATCCTACCTAGTCTAGAGTAGGATAAGGCTAGCGCGACATGCGGACGTTGGTACGTGTTGGGTAGTCTACAAACGTCGCCTAAAGTAATTGATTTTACCCGGCAGAACGAAAGAAGGAAACTCCGCTTTTCAGTAGTCTAAGGCCCTTGTTTTTTGACAAACAATGACCTTTCAGAGGTCAAATTGCTGTCAAGAATATGAATTGGATGCTTCGCAGCAATTAATTGGTGTTATTTTTCTCTTTACAGAAACAATGTAAATGCAAGTTGATTGGTTTGAGACATGTATTGTCATCGTTTGTTGCGTTCCCCGATTATTTGACAATAAAATGGAGATTTATGAAATTAGCATGTCATTTGTCAAGCATACGATTGTTTTCTTGTTTGCTGCCTTCCATTGACCATAAATGTTCTGATCATGTTTATAATAATACATATAGGCCTATGTATAAATAAAAATAAAACATACTGCATGTTTACTGTGATATGATGAAGCAGGGTAGCACCAGGAATTCCCCAACGAGGCGTCCAAGCTCAACGATAAAATTTGTCGGAGAATTTTTTTTATTTATAAAAAAAAATAACAGTTTTGTGTTAATTATGGGATTTTTATTCTGTCAAAGGTACCATCCCCCAGTCGCGGAAGAGCTGGCACCACCACTGCAACCCATACGATCGTAATAATATATAACCTCGCACATACGGTAGCACTGCTCGCACTAAACAGTTTTTAATCCCTACAATTTGACAGCTTAGTAAGGCATGCTTAAATTTTTCCCTAACAACCCTGCTGGAAATATATATCAGAACAGAAACATATGATCAGAACGTTAATGGTATGGAAACGCAATAAAAAAGAAAACAAACGTATGATACACAAATAATCTGGACTTTAAAAAGTAATAAAAAGAATGTGGGGAAGAACAAAAAACGTTTTAGTTTAAGTCAATTCGACAAGGGAAACACAGTAGGCCAGCCAGGCATAACATTAAAGAAACGAGTGTAATTCTAAGTTTAACAAACTTTTAAAAATCTCACTAAAACAAATAGTCTATTCTATTTGAAGTAAGTGTAGTGAGTGTACATTTTAATAACAAACAAAAAACACTCAGTTTCCCGGCCAAATTTTCTGGATATTAAATACCTAGGCTATAGGCCTAGCCACTTAGGCCTAGGTCAAGGCTAGTTAGTAGTATGCAAGTATCACATTCACAAATACGAAAGTGTTCCCGATCTATCATCAGTTAAAAAAATGGTCCCAATCACTCCTTCAAAAGGCCTAACCCGAGCTAGGCAAGATAGAAATGGGTCCGACCCGTCGAGCCGACCAGTTGGGTCCCCACCGTTCAGAAATGGCCCGATTACATTGTGGGTCCGATCTGCATCGGCTAGGCCTAGCTAAGGTTATGTGCTGTAGCATTGGCCTAGGCCTAGTTTGCCATGCAGAAGTTTGGATTCACAGTTACTCTTTAGTAGTAGTAGGGGAGCCTAGCCTACTTACGCGATATCATGCCGGTTACTGTTTATTGAGTAACTACATTTCATAAAATCATACATTTTGCAGATAGCAATTAATGAATACAAAATGTAAATATTTAACTGTAAAATGAACAAAAAAATCCAAAATTAATACCACTAAAACTCCAAAATATATGGTATACCCACTGGAATTTCCAGTGTGGTCAACGACGTGTGTCTAAAAGGACAGCAGATTATATAACCTATGAAAATGGCTTCAAGAACACTCTTGACGCAGGGTTGGCAGGGTTCCCGGAACGCCGCCCTCGGCGGCGAGTGCGAAGCACAACTCAGGGCCAAAATAGTGGAACGTGAAATTTGGATATGGTTTTGTAGTCAGATTTGCGAGAAAACAGCTACCCGTATTTCTCGACTGAGACGTCAGTGGGAGCTGTAATTTGTATGGCAAGCGAGATTGAGCAACCCTTCATTCATATTAAGGGAATTTACGCCCAGAAACTTTGTAGTTATTAATATTTTGGTTATAATAGAAAATATTCATTTTTTGTGACGTCACACTCACATTACTTAGCATGCATACGTCATAAGCTAGATACGTTCACCTTTTCCTGGTAAGGCAAACTTTCCCGGCGTGCTTTTTTCATGGATAAACAAACGCCACTGTTTTGCACGTGGATGCCTTGCCCAAGCCAGGGCTACAAGAGCCGCATTGTTAGCATTGTAATAATAATAATAATAATAATAATAAGATTTATTAAGCGCACATCTCCACTAAAGTGCTCAAGGCGCTTGTGAAAACCATGAAAAAGCTTATCTTTTTAAACTAAAGGCTACCAGAAAAACGACCATAACCGTCACACTGCTTCCGTTTACCAGCAATTTAAGGTGCAAAGACCGGCTGGTACATAACTCACAGGTGTTCTCAGTTTTGTGAGCATCTAACTAAACAAATTAAAGAACAAAACAAAACAAAAAATCAATTCACAATAAATTAATTTCCTTGAGCAACAAAAAAATAGATGTGTTTTCAGAGCACGTTTGAACAAAGCAGTCGACGAACTTGATCTTATTTCAAGAGGTAATCTGTTCCACAAACGGTGGGCCGCAACTACAAAAGATCTGTCACCCCATGACCTCATGGACCTGGGCTCAACCGGCAATCGTCTATCACCTGAACGAAGATTTCGTGATGGCACATGCCACACCAAGAGACTACGTAAATACTCTGTACCTTCACCGTTTAGCGTTTTATACGTGATTAAAAGGATCTTAAAAACGACCCTATAATACACAGGCAGCCAGTGCAATTGTTGTAGAATTGGAGTAATGTGGTCAAATTTGCTCGTCTCAGTTATAATTCTGGCGGATCTGTTCTGCAGCAACTGGAGACGGTGTAAAGAACTCTTCGGCAAGCCAATAAAAAGGGAATTTCCAAAATCGAGACATGAAGTGACGAATGCATGTATAATTTGCTCCGTAGCATCTCTTGAGAGGTACTTCCTAATTCGCTTTATATTACGGAAGTGAAATATAGATGAGCTGGTAATTTTAGAAATATGTCTACCCATGGTCATCGTTGAATCCAGAAAAACACCAAGGTTTTTTACATGTGGTGTATGTTCTCTCCAACATCCTCCGATAGTAATATGAGATCTTGACATTTCTTCAACTGTTGAGGAGACCCAAAAACAATGAATTCTGTCTTCTCATCGTTAGGTTTCAGAAAGTTCTTGGCCATCCAGTTTCTTAGCTTAGCAATACACTTCTTGAGAGACTCAAACTTTACTTCAACTTCTTCCTTCTTAGGTTTGAAGGATATATAAATTTGAGTATCATCAGCATATATGATGACAGAGATTAAACCTTGAAACAATTTCTCGAATTGGTAGCAGATAGATTGTGAACAATTGTGGTCCAAGAATAGACCCCTGAGGAACGGAATAATCCAAAAAGAAAGAATCAGACTTGGAGTTTCCAACACAAACATTTTGTGACCGACCAAAAAGATAAGAAGAAAACCAATGCAGAGCATTGCCTTCAATACCAATGTAATGCTTTAGACAATCCAGCAAGACAGAGTGATCAACTGTGTCGAATGCTGCACTAAGATCAAGCAGAATAAGAGCTGTGAGTTTTCCTTTATCCATTGCTTGGAGAAGTACCGCGACGTACTCATTTTCACAAAGCATTTGCATCCCCTCTTGGAAAGAGGGATTCGAAATAATTGTCTCCATATCTTCGATAATTAAATTAATCACCGTAATTTAGCTTACACTTATGAATTTAAGGAGCACTTAAAATGTGAAATAATCATTTCACTACCCGACAAACTCCGAAATTTATTCATTCATTAGGCCTACATAATAGTTTCATATTGCTGTACTATACTCCAACATCACTGGCGCAAGGTAACAACCGACTGACTGCAGACCATTTCCGGTCACACATTACTCTCCATAACACAGCACCCCCTAGTTCCGTCACCTCTGGATTACGTCACCTTTTCCTGGTAAGGCAAACCATGGAGGAAATATCTTAATATATTTCCTCCATGGGCAAACTTACCATCCCGGTGTGCTTTTTTCATGGATAAACAAACACCACTGCTTTGCACAGGGATGCTTTTGTCCTAGCTATAGGGATACAAGAGCCGCATTGTTAGCATTGTTTACCTACAAGGTACGGTACCTCTGCAACTGAATTATTCTTAGTTATTTGTTTTTGATTTATTTTATTTTAATTTATTTCTTTCGAAAGTGTACTTTCTATCACATATTATTGCACTGCCAAGTTAGGCCTGGGCTTAGTCTTATTATGTACTGTACAGTATGATGATCCTCATCCGCTACACAGTACATCAGTAGCACCCCCCACCCCCATACAGTACAGACGTTTGCTGGGCAACTGTTGATTGAACCTTCCTTCGCAGGTGTTCATGTATTTGGCATATTGTTAGCTAACCAGTTTTGTGTATTTCATTGTGAAAATGAGTACGGCGGGGTACTCATTTTCACAAAGCATTCCCCTCTTGGAAAGAGGGAATTCGAAATAATTGTCTCCTTATCTTCGCTAATTAAATTAATCACCGTAATTTAGCTTACACTTATGAATTTAGCTAGCGCTTAAAATATACAATAATCATTTCACTACCCGACAAACTCCGAACTTTATTCATTTGGCCTACATAATAGTTTCATCTTGCTGTACTACTGTATATACTCCAACATCACTGGCGCATGGTAACAACCAACTGATGCAGACCATTTCCGGTCACACATTACTCTCCATAACACAGCACCCCTAGTTCCGTCACCTCTGGATAATAATTACAGTATAATACCGTACTCGCGCGGATATAAGCGCCCGGGTGCTTAAAATATTTTTTTTTTTGCACTTTCTGAGGGGCGCTTATTCAAACGGGCGCTTATGAAAACAGAGTGTAAATTGAGGGGGCGCTTATGGAAATAGATGAAAATCGAGGGGTTCTTATGGAAACTTATTAAATTCAAGAGGCACTTATTTTGAATGAAAAATGATTATATAAGAACATTACGAATGGTGGTAGGCCTACGGTGCGGCGGAAAAGATAATCCTCTCTCCAGAGACTGGCTCATGGCAAGACTGATGTGAATATTTACATAACAGCAGAATAGCATATGCAAATATTAGTGGTGGTGGTATGGGTAGTGGTTAGCTTATTGGCCGTCGGCCGATTGAGATTAGCATGACAGGATCATTGCAGGTCTTGAAAACTCAGATAAGAACTTCTAAAGGTGCAAATTGTAAGAAAAAGAAAGAGCAGTTGGACTAGGCCTAGACAATATATAAGAAGAGGAAAGTTGGAAATGTCTGTCCAGGGTTTGGAGCTCTCGTCTGTCCCAAGAGAAATATCCTATCCTCGTTTTGATATTGACCTAGAAGAATGGTATTCCACTCTGCATCTCAAATCATGCCAACGACCACAGTTATAGTCAACAGGGGTGGATTTATGGGGGATTTTGAGATAATTGAATGGATACTCAATTCCATAGAAAGGTTGATTCTATGTCACATCGCGCAATGGATAGCTACGAAGAAAGTTTAAGTAAGTAAAAGTAGGCATATCCCTTCTAAATAATAGATGCCTTTCTTTGTTGTAAGATGCTCTGTAAGAGCTTTTAAGGGCGTACCATTTCAAAAAAACTCTTCCTATTTTCGGAGGGGACCCCTCTCCCATTTCAAAAAAACTCTTCCTATTTTCGGAGGGGACCCCTCCCCAACCCACCCCTCGGTGCTTCGTACCTCGGCTGGTCTTCTATCTTTACTTTGGTGCCTCCCCCTACCTTTTTTTTTTTTTTGCTAAATCCTGTATCCGCCCCTGATCAACAGCAGTTTAAACAACAATATTCCCGACAAATATGCTCACCACCTATAGTCGCCGGAGTGCGATTTTTTTCCCGTACGATACATTTACATGAAACTCCACTCGGGCCGTCTCGGCTGAATCAACCCGAAAATCTCATTGCAGAATTCAGGAGGTCAAAAGGTCATCAACAGATAAACGTCTACAGAACAACTTCTGAGAGAACGTCGCTGTCTAATTTTTTTAAATACATTGATGTTACCATGTTAATACCAATGGGTCGTTTAAAATGACATATAATATTTGATTAAGCTGCACGAGTAATGAAAAGAGTTATTTTAACTTGAGTTACATACTATGACAATTTTAATTTTTTAGTTATAGGCCTGGGTTTTGCATAATTACCTAGGCCTACTAAAAACGCTTTCTGGGAAAAGCACAAAGAGTAAGGAAAAGCGTGTTTTTCTTCATCACTGATCAAATGAAACAGAATGACACTTATTTTCAAATTAAGAGAAGAGCTGAGAATAGGCAGCTCTAAAATAATGGATGCCATAAGACCTGTCAAAATGGCAAAACACCAAATGAATGTAAAAATGAGATAGTTATTAATATTAGGAATAGTAATCGGCAGGTTCTTGATTACAAGGCTAGACCAAGTTAATTACATGTAATGCCGAAATGATAATAATAATAATAATTATTATTACCTGTACGTTAAGGGGAACTTAGACAAAATAACACAAAAGATATTCCCCTTGGGCTAGTTATTATTTATAGGCCTAGTAAAT